TTACTGTTCCTGGAATGCTTGTAATTATATTTTAAGCCAAAACTACTCTGGAGAAACCGCATATATATGTTATGCCAAAACTAGCATTCACATTTTACCGTGCTTTCCGGTTGGCTGACGTCACATAATGTATAAGTCAGGCAGGCTTCTAAGAAACACTGCATTTTGCCCATTACTCTTTTTTTTTTTTCTGGCTCAAACTTTTCTAGGATTTATTTTACACCATCAAACTCCTTTTAACCCGTCAAAAACAAGTGGTACACCCGCCCCCCCCCCCCCCCCCCCCCTCTTATTACATCTGGCATAACGTTTTCAGTCTCGGTTGTAGATCCTCTCAGCCTCTCAGACCAAATTTAAAAATTAAATAATAATTTAAAAAAAGTATTACGACTTTTTATGTGGGTTACTAGTTCGTATGTGTCTATCATATGTTTAGCCAATTTTTAGGCAAGACAATGGTTCTCACAATTTGCCAGAACTTTCTTGTAGGAGTTCGGTTCGTGCTGTTAATGCAGTGATTAAACAGGAGCCATAACCACAATGTTCGCTGACGCAGTAATCGTTGCGAGCCAGGGACCCTCCACGTGTACAATTGATGAATGGCAACGGAATGACGCCACCGTGGGGCAATCCGAACACTACGTACACAATATTAACTCCCAAATACCTCATGAAGTTTCCCGAACGGGACACTGATAAAATAAACAGACCGTTTTTTTTTAAATCTTTGATAGTAAACCGCAAGAAAGAAGGACACGCAAATGTAGGCGAAGATTTGAGCATACTCTGGGCTCCGGCATATTTGCGCGTCATCTTTAAAAAGTTTATTCTGGACAGTCACGCAAAGTCCGGGGAGGATCCACATGTACACAGGGCAGGTCAATTTCTCATTAAGAGTTGAGAAATATTCTCACGCTTTAGTTCTTGCAATTTTCAATGACCAATTTAACTTAAGGTGAAAAAAAAAAAATACGCGTTAGACTCACACAAGCCTAAGAAACATAGGGCGCGAGTTATTTTGTTTGCGCTTATTTCTTTGTGATTGGTCCTTCTGTGATCTTATCGACTAATGCTGCAATCTCATTGGCAGTGAGGCGATGATAAGATGGTCGGTACTTGCCACAGCTTGCGTTTATTAGGCCTTTCCATTTGGAAATACGACTCCGTTGGGAAGCGTTCATTTTACCCGCAAAATCTCCAACGGCCCGCTTGAAGCCGCATTCAAACATATTTCGCAGAGTCGTGCCTTCAACTCCACACCCTCTGTTTCGCAGTTAGGTCACCAGACTGCGCCAGCTTTCGCTGCACACTTGTATATGTGGGCACTCCGTACTCTCTCCTGGGCGCCTTTTTCCTCTGGGTGGCGCAGATCGTACGGAGTCACCAAACAGACCCGGGATCAAGTGCAAGTCGTAGTGCTCAACCAACTTGAAGTTCCATGTAATTTCGGTAAAATTTACAAAGCAGGACTTGTCTGTGGCGAACCTGTAGATATTGAAGATTGTAGTGCTCCTTCTTCATATCCAAACTGTCCGTGCTTTCGCGCTTGGCTCGGCGTTATTATTTCGATGAACAGTCTGTCACCACCGAACGTCCTGAACCTTCGAGGGCTGCAGCACAACCACGGCTTCTGCTTGTGTGTGCGAAGTCCTGTCTGCTAGAACAAACAAAAATGAGACACATCATCAGACTCAGAATGCGATTCCAGAAACCTGCTTTCGAGTGGAGATACTAGTTCAACATAATGTGCTTTCACGATTGAGTTTATAATATGGCCTGATATAGCTTGTTCCAACAGAATAACAGTATTTGATGTACGCCCAAGAAGCACAACGCTCCATCTACACACGTAATGCTCCCATACGTATCGGTTTTTGAGTAATGTATTTACTTGTTTATTTAGATACCGACAGTGCTACTAGAAGCATTACAATTTTTGCGGGCAAAAGACCCCCGCCCCCGATCGAAATGGCAGTGGTCATGCCCCTTTCTTTTCGTGACGTGAGGAAAACGTCCGTAGAGTATGGTTATGGCATTATACTTTTCTCTAGAAATTCCGTGGGCTCATCTCTCCCTTCCTGTCTTATGTTGCAACAAACTAGGGCATTCGATTCTGTACACAATCGAATGGAATGTTTCATTCATATTTTAATATTTAACATTTTCCTTAGATATTAATTTTTTTATGCGTTCCTTGATTCTTATGTTAATGAATGTCGAACAAATATGACTGTTTTCTGGAATGGCATGCACACTCCATTTTACCTGAACACAGGAGGGATCTTCCACACATTCTCTAGTTTTTGAGCTTTCTTTTAGTTATGAGTCAGCAATCTGATTGATGGCAACGAACGCACGAAATATCTTTTGATTTTTTTTTTAAATGACCAAAAAGAGTGCTGCACCATAAACATTGTAAGCTTATTTTCAGCTCTTGTTCAAACATTAATGACATGATCGGAAGCCGAAACAAAACCACTAATAAAGGACCACCAGATAATCTGATTGTGCTGAGTGATGGGCCTGTCAATGCAGTAAGCACTCGCGAGGCTGGTAAGAAAGCAACTTGCCCTTGTATGTGGCCTAATTCTCGGATGCCTTTCCACTCGACATGCTCTTGGCCAGTTCTTCAAACTCTGCCCCCTACGTCCAGAGAGTACAGTAGTTGACGCTTGCGATGCGTAACCTGCGCTTCTTGCGCCATCTGGAAGTAAGTCGCGATATTCTCGTGGCAACTCCTGTAACCATTCCTATCGTTTTCATTAGAAACATTATCTGCAGCCTTGTGCGTGCGTATTAGCATCCTACCCTCAGCAGCAGCCCTTTATTATTTTTTTTTCTGTGAAGCGTTATCTGCAACGCTGCCAAACGAAAGACGTGCCCGCGTGGCTTAAAAACGGATTTTGCTCTGTTTCTTTTTTTGTTATTAGGTCTCCCCGCAACCAACGCTAGTATCTTATGGAGCCAAGTATCGGCCCCGAAAATGCGTCGTCGGGGCACTTGTCGTCATTCTGCGTCTGTTCTCGCCGGCTAGTCCAATTACTCGCAGAAATATAAAGCGAGGGATCAAGCCACATTCACTCCGGGTGATTGGCTTAGCCGGTCATAAAAAGCGTGACGGTGCTCGTTTTCCGCTGCTTGATTGGCTCCTTCGGAATGTTGCGTTGGTTGTAGTCGGACTTACCGCAAAACGGAATGTATTGACGCCGACGTCCTTAGGCAGAGGTGCGCTCTCCAGTCGTAGGACGTTCTTACTAAACGGACTGAAGATGAATAGCCTATTCTGTTTCGTCAGATCTACAACACTGCAGCGACAGATGAGGTTAATCCCAGCTTTGTTCTTAAAGGGTCCAAAATCGTAAAAATGCCGTCTCTGTTCTCTGTAACTTTCCCAAACGGGTGGGATCCTGCAACCTTGATCTAAAATCGTCTTTGGTAAGAGAGGTTATGCCAAAACGACTAACCTTGATCACCAGGTCCTAGTACTTTTTGGTGGTGCTCTCGCGGCGGACCCAGTCATGAAGGAGCTTGATGAGGGCCCTGAAAGCGTAATCGTTCATTCTCCTTGAAACAGATGAAACCTTCTCACAACTAAGTATGGTCACTTCAAAACAGTATATCCAATAAGAAATAGAACAAATGAGCAGGGGCCGAATATTGGGTAGGTGGTATTATATCGATTCCAGGTTCCATTAGATGGCACTGAAGGTGGTCTTTACCACTCGTTACATAATGACCGTTTAAAAAAAACAGAATTATGACATATATATATATATATATATATATATATATATATATATATATATATGTATATATATATATATATATATATTGGTATTTCCACACTACTTATATTTGCCACGGGGCTAGCATCATAGTCGAGTTTGTAAGAACCTTGAACGGTGAACAATACTGGCAAAGATGTTAAACAAAATAAAAATAAAGAAATAAATGACTGGTTCGCAAAAGCTTGTTTTGATATTGAATCGTTGTTTTACGAAGGTACAGAGAAATAAAATTATACCAAGCAATGATACAATGCTGAATACAACCACATCCTTGAATGACTGGTTTCAACTGATTTTGCATAATTCAGCTTCCAATTATTTTAAATTTATTTTCACGGAACCGCCATATAGGATATATTTTATCCAGCCTACTTTTAAAATATTAATATTTAAAAGTAGGAAGCGCTAAGAGCGATTAATAGTACAAATTTTGCAGCACCACGTTTGATGATCCCCTCGTCACAATTCAACGCAATGCCACGCTTGTGAACGTTGAACAAAAGGCGGGGATATAGGAATATAATTATGCTTATGTTTGCTTTAAGAACTGCACCTCATTGGCCTGCTTCTTGCAGGCTCAGATTAACAACCCCCCCCCCCCCCCCCCCCCCCCTAGGAGTTGTGATGTTGTGATGGTTTGATCCGCTGCGTAGATGCAAGAAAAATGCACCCGATAGCATTAAAACTAAAACAGAGGATAAAAGAAAAACAACACACATGAATGGCGCCCTAAAACAACTGTCCTATAGGGAAAAAAGTATTAATTCGCTTGTTCCAAGAACTTATGAGAACTTATACAAATGATATAAATGGTATATAAGTTCGTATCCTAGGTAGCACGCCCAAAGAACTCCTAAATAGGCAGAGAATTGGCGAGGCTGGGTGCCAGGGTACGTCTCTTAGGCGTTTCTATGGCTTTTTTTCCTGACTCCACATAATTGACAAAGTGTCAGATTTGAATCAAAGGTGCATCGTATAGACCGAAGGACCAGCAGTGAATCCTAACATTAACACTTGTTTGGCGAAATAGGGTTAAGATACCCAGACTATGGTCTAAAAATATCAAGCGTGGCTTTACCTTGGTTTCTTCGGTCTTTATTAAGCCCAAAATTCCCAGGCAAAAACACCGATTTGGCCCAAAGAACTGTGCTCCCTGTGATACCATCTTATATGTTCTTATCTTTATTGAACACATTCATATCACCATTTCTTTTAGTAGGGTACGTCTGCCATCTCAGATAAGGAGACAGATATTTGGCAGGGCTTCCGCACCAAGGATGTCGAAAGTGGCGGCGCTTGCGATGAGAACTCGTCAGCCGTCGATCTCCTCGTTCCGAATGGCCGAACGGCGTACGGCGTTTCCGAGGCCGGATACCGGTCCGTGTAAGGCCTTCCTCTTGACCAATCTGTCGTCACCACAAGTGGTAAGAGAGAGCGCAACATAATTTAGTACCTTACACATTCATAGTAATTAAAAAAAAACAAGCGAAAAACACCAAGTCACTGGGCTGCGGTTGTACGCGCAGCGTCAGATATGTAACAGAAGAAAGCGATGGCGCATGCTGGAAAGCCGCTCCAGGAACCACTAGAAAAAATGGAAGGGCGCAAAACGCAAATAATTCAATGGTACAGAAAGCGATTTAAGCCCGTTTCACATGCAGCGACTGTTGCGGAAAAGTTCGGTGCAACAGCCGACGCAGCGAGCTCGGATCTCAATGTTTGGCCTCACATGCTCCAACAACCGCGCGATATCTGTCGGCGCGACCGGTTGTTCGGACACGGACGCGACGCGTTTGATTTTGCCTAAAATAAATACAACAAAAACGTCTTAATAAACACAAATGTTATACGAATACAATATGTAACTAGAAATTTTTAATAATTAAGCATTAAACCAAAAGTTTTAAGGTGTCTGAATTTATTTTCGAATACGCAACTATCGCGGATGAAAGGTGGCTAATGAACGGCTGGTTGACGATGAAGTGATCTCAAAGACTCTGCGACAAAATACCAACTTGGTGAAACCAGTCGCAGAGCCGCTGCGACAGTGCGACTGCGATTTTAATCGCACATTTACTGGAAATCGCACCGATTTCGGTTAAGAATCCTAGCAAGTGAAACAGCCTTTAGACTCATCCCAACGCAGCCAATAAACTATCTGCTGTGAGGTCACTCCGCTACCGTGAAACTTTTCTCGTCAAACCGCATGTGCAGAGGCCCCACCTCACGCGAACCTGGTTTCTGAGCCCGCATAATACCTAAACCTTCTGCGGGCAAAAGCGGGCTCGTTTATAAACAGCGCGCTGGCGTACATATCGTTTCTAGAAGGGCGTCGCCATTTTGAACGGCGAACTTCCGTTTTGCTTTCGCCACGCCCCTGGAAGGGTTTCGCGTTTTAAGCGTGTAACTCGTTATTGTGTTGCACTTTCTATAATTGTTTACTCGCTTCAGTTCGTTGCGTTTAGCCTTAGTTCTGGTCCCGCATACAAGAGATGTGAACACTCACTCTCGGGTTTCGGGCACCCTGGAACTGACTTTCCGGTCGGAGAATGGCAGCAGCTCGAGCGAGGAAGGGTGTCCTTGCCAGTGGCTTGCTTCTGATCGAACTCGGACATGATCACGGCATCCTCAAGGTACAGTTTCCGAGGGTGCGTACCTGTGCAGGTAAGAGCAATAGAGTTTTAGACTGTGTTTACGCGTTCTCATTGAATTAAAAATATTTATATAAAAACAAAATTCTTAGCCTCCTCCTCAGATCTTTTCGACAAAATTAGTTCACGAAAGTCCCGTCTGTCAGGTCACAAAACCATGCCACGTGAGGTCAGGTCATGTAACCATGTTAAATGACGTCAGGCACACTGTGTCATGTGAAACCATGACACCACGTGGCAAAGGACGTGGCAAAGGTCGAAATAATACACGAGCCAAAAAACGCACTTTTTTTTATAAATAACTGCCTTCTATAACGAGCGCGCTGATGAAAATAACTGATTTTGCTTCACGTATATTTTAGTGTGTCACAACAATAAAAGTTTCTTTTAAATTAGATTTTGTTCAAACACATGATATGGCAGAGAATCGGTTAACATGCTAAATATCTTGACCGCTGACGCTGCGTCACCCACGATTGCGTGTTTATAACGTGTGTTTTCGTTTTTAATACCACTCTGTGAACGACTGACAGCGTACAAGAACACTGTTTACTGTCGTTCAACGCTGAGCAGGAACTAATTTTCAACGTTTCATAATAGTACGTCCAACCGTCGTCCTCTCCCCTTTCCCCCCCCCCCCCCCTTCCCCCTCAAGGTGGACCACGGAAAAAGCTACAAGCACAATTTTATTTGCACCACAGTGTGCTTTGGCATTTGTACCGGGAGCCCTAGCCGAACCAATACCCCCCCCTCCCCCCCCCCCCCCCCCCCGCATTTCTCGGTTTCGCTACTATTAACATTAAAGCGATTAAAGGAAAACAGGGTAAAACAATTTTGAAACGTATACTCATTAATGATCTTAGGTGTTGCCCGGCGCAATAGAATAACCACTTCATGTGCATGGCAAGAAGATCACAATAACCCATTAATATTCTATAGAAAAAAAGAACAAAGAAAAAGGAGCTCCGGAAACGGAACACTTGCGTTCTCATTTATTACTCATTTTCTTGTCCCTTTTCTATACCCGTGCTGAACTTCAAACTTGACTAACGGTCGAGGATAAAGCTGGTAAACAGGCGAGCTGGTTTATGTTGCACATCGTTAAAACCGGAGACGACGGAAAGAATGGGGACATGACACACGTCTTAAACTCAGCTAACGACTTCAATAACGTATTTTCTAGTATGTGTCATATCGAGTGTGTGAAGATTGATACGATCCAAATTAAGCATTTCCAGCAATATGGTGAGTCGTGTACTCTTAGATCAAGGGTGACCTCTCAAGTGCCATCCGGTGGCTATTTAGTGGGATACAAAATACAGTCATTGGCAGCTTAAAGAGGCAGAGGATGGATTTTTGTGCTAACACTTCTTGTGTTGTGACTGCCTCTTCCGCGTTCTTATCGGCTTATGCCACAATCTCACCTGCTGCCTTGCGATGGTAAGATAATTGAGACTCGCCATACTCTACGTTTCTTAAGTTCTCTATAGTGACTACTTTGGTTGCGCGATTTAAAGTTGCCTGAGCGGTAGCATGTACTATTTATATTTGCGGGCCTAGGATTTCAACTAGGGCTGTTTGCACCGAGGCTCAGCGTACCATCAGAGTTCTGGCTGCCGTGATCCGAGTTCTGCCTCTTGAGGCAGATGTAGACCACCAGGAGGGCCAACACGACCAGGATTGCCGACACCGCGACGGGCGCTACCACTGCCATGTTTTTGTGAAGTGGCAAAGGCGCTTGGTCCTGGATGGCCGTCGGAATCAACGTGGCCACTGCAAGCAAGCAAAAGTAGAACCTAAAGCTGAGCGCCGTTGGATGCGATTACAGTTGAGATATTTAGCACAGCGTTAAAACGATACCTTTAGCGTAATCACGTTATTCTAATAAAGAGTTCAAAGGATCACATTAGCGTTTTTGATCGTTCGAGCCGCGTGCTCAAGCGACCGCCAAATGACGCGCCTGAAATGCGTCCTCTTTCCGATCACTAAATTCCGATTCTACTTGCATTGAAAAGATGAGAAGCCTGGACATATGAATAAACATTCACCTTTGATTAACAAAATAAAGAAAAAAAAACGCAAAATTTTATGGTTTTGCTAAAAACGATTATATATATCCATTAACCGCCTCAAAAATCAGCTGCGATGTTCGCCGAGATTACGAAGAACGTGGCTGTGGCAGAGTTCTGGAGCAACGTCTTTCAGTACAGAGATTGCAATGTTTTGGGTTCAAATCTTTTTAAGGTCACTTTAATATATTCCTTTATCTTGCGTGGCTTCCATTATTTGAATCGATAAGCACGTAATTTAGGTTTTTTTTTTTTTTTTTTATTAATTTCTGTGCTTACGTTGGATGATCACGAGACTTCGAAGCGTCGCCGAAGGAAGAAAGATGAAACTGGAGGCGGGATATCTGAAGCCCCCTTCCCCTCCTCTCTGCCATTCTCACCTTCTCAGTGTCTATATTCAAGTATCTGTTTACAGGGCCAACCTGGCCCATCAAATTTTAACTAGAGGAGCGTGGACTAACCTGCCGCCGACAGCGCCGGCGTCTGGAATTCGAAGTCGGCCTGCGTCGCCCCGGCCTCGCTGTGAGCGATCACGTTCACCTGGTACTGTCGGCTGGGCACCAAGTCGGTGAGCTGGTACTGGCGTCGCCGCGGGTTCACCGAGTCCGCCAGGGACAGCCAGGCCGGGTGAAACTTGAGCCGGTACTGGATGGCGAAACGGGTCACCGGACAGCCGCCGGTTGACCAGGCGTTCAGGTGCAGCGTGGCCGTGGTCGAGTTGGTCGTGATGAACTTGTCAGTCGTCGGAGAGATCGGAGCTGGAGAAAACAGAGGAATACCAGCAGTTCACATTTAATGGGGCGCCCCCTATGAGAGGACGTCGGACAGCTTGATCTAAGTCAAGTAGTTTTACAAGCACCAGGATAGGGCTGACTTTAGCTTTGGTGTCTTTGGGTTGCTATTGATTATTGTAATTTGCGGCTGACGTTTGTAAAACGTTGGCAGAATGTTTGCAGAAAAAAAAAAACGCTGTTTATATAGTTTACATATATCTTTACGCGGTGTAGGAGGTACCATTCCGAACCCTTCTGAAAATAAAGGAACACGCGTAACTGACATTGCAAACGACCACACAATGTATACTGCGATTGACTGCGGTGGCTGTTGCGTAGCCGTAAGTTCTGCTACAGGAAGGTTTCACGTGTCAAACTCCTAATCCGTACTCCCAGAGGGCACAACTTTCATTAACTTTCGCTCTATCTCTTCCTATGTGCGGAGGCGGTGGTTTCCAAAGAGTTCAGTCTCATTCCCTTCCAAATCGGACTGAGCCAGCCTGAGATGTCGAGGACATAAGGTAGCAGCAGCTGGTACTCGATTTTTCTTTGCTGCTGGTCCTTCTCCTGATATAAGATAAACCGACGATGAAGAAATCAGTATAATGGATGAAAAATGGCGCCCGCAGACGCTTCCGGGCGGCACCAAAAAAAGAAAAAAGCGAAGTAGTCATTAATTTGTGGAGCGATATTGCGTCATCGGTTGTGTTTACTGATTTCTGTGGTCGACCGAGCCGCTTCCAATGCTTGTGCGATTACGAACACCAGAAACTACATTTATAAATAAACATTCGCAATCAAACTAATGGAAAAAGCTGCGGATGCCGTCCATAAACAAGGTGGAACGTGACTTGCAGGAAGTGAAAAGGCGTCACGTGGAACCGCCATATAGAAGGTTTTGCTTTAGTCATTGTACTTTATGATATTTCCTTAAATAGCTTGATGCTTAGTATAATAGTCATAAGAGAGGCTCTTTAGGACATATATGCTTCTTCGGAAAGCGGTCATTAAATGCGCTCCAGAATATGCAGTTCATGGCGAGAAAATGGCACCGAGGAGTGTTTCTTAGTTGAAATGCTTCCATGGAACGTGATTTTGGATATTGCTTCTTGTTGACCCCGGAGCGGCGGTGGCCGCGGTTTCGGAGTTACCGCTGTGTGGGCTGCGATAAGGAAGGGAAGAAGCGAGAGAGAAGGAGCAATAGCGCGTCTTACCGTAGATCACGTGGTTGTGCGAGGGCCGACGGCGATGAGAAGAGAGCGGTAGGGTGGCGGAAATGGGGCGGCGCGCTCCTCGCAATCACGTAGGTTTTTGGCGTACGGACGCCGCCGGATTTCGCCAGAAAGGAACACTATATTCACAGACAACTTTAGAAACGGAAAGCGTGACTGGCCCCGAGCCTCTTGTTAGCGGTGCGCAGTCAATAAGAAAGTTCCGATTGACAGTATTCGCTTGAATAGTAATAACAGTAACAAAATTCGGGGGGCAAGAAACGTGATTTTATTAAGAAACGCCATTTTCTTTCTGATAATGTGGGTGACTAAACGGTTATAAATTGAGAGAGATAAGACGAGAGTGCGCGAGGCGTCAGAACACCGAACTTTGGTCTGGAACATAGCCTCTTCTAAACTCACAATGCCTGGCAGTTCGACGACGGAGCCGTAGAGTGCCCGGTCGCAGATTTGGAGCGCGAGGGTCTGGTACCACAGAGCATCAAAGAGTCATTTATTGGGAAACCTGGACATCAGCGCAGAGCTTTGCATCGGCGAGGACCCGAAACACACTTGTTTGCTCTGGGGAAGTGTGTTTCGGCGTCTTGCCACAGCAGGGCGCCAGTCACGTGGCTCTCCTCTCATTCGTTGTCTGCCGCTCTACCTTTTCCATTTCGGCGGCCGCTTTTCGTGGCGATCTGCCAGTCTTTGTCAGTATGTAGGAAGCTATGGTTGGAACGATTAGTGGGTAGACGAAAAACTAGCTGCCATTGGCTCTACTGACTCCTTTATCGTTTTCGAACAGGAACGCCAGACGCCGTCGTTTTGCGTTCGAACATATTTTAAGAGCGATAACAGAAAAAAGGCAGCTAGGTTTGCGCCTAACCACTAATCACTCCAACGAGAGCTTGGTATTCTGACGTCCCTGCGCACTCTCTTCTCCTCCCCTTCCTCGAATTGTGCCCGTATGACAGCTGCCGCTGTAAATAATAAAAAAAAAAAAAAAAATGTCGTACCTGCTCCCTTGGTTCGGACAGAGACCTCGGCTCCCGGCTCTCCCGTGCCGAGACTGTTGGAGGCGGTCATGTAGAGCCTGTACAGGGTGCCACACTTGAGGCCGTCCAGCACAAACGATTGCTTGGTGGCGTTGAGTGGCAGCTGGAGCCAGTCGCTGGCCTCGGTGCCGTAGTGCAGCACGTACTCTGCCGAGAGACACCGGGCGTGCTCGACATGGGCGACAAGATTACGCCGCGTGGAACGCGTCTCCGCCTTGCAGCGATTGGCCGTCTCAACTACTTTGCGGGAACGTAGACGCACGAAATTTTATACAGCATGACATTTTGAGTGTAGTAATATAATTTCCCTTAGAGACGCAATTTTTGTTTCGTTTTATTGTATAGTCAAGTTCAAGCTGTCATTACCAAGACGTGGTCCATGGCGTAGCATAAAAATGGTCATCGCTGCCAATCCCTGCAATAAATAAAACTCTGTTCGCAATTGCTTCAAATTTCTTTGAAATAAGGATATTTGCAACTGTTTTTGCTGAAAGGAACATTCGAAGCCGAACTACCTATCAGCTCCATATAACCTTAGCTTGTAGCAAGAAAGCGCGAGCGTGATAGTGCAGTTAAACATTGATGGTGACATTATGGTTGGCTCATCTTGTGGTGCGAGGGACTCTGTTATCACATGCATGACGATGGCGTGTCTGTCTGCGATGAAAAACGTTTTCGCTACTTTGCGAAGGACTCTGCGTTGTAGACTTTAAATTGTCCAACGACGCTGTTATTGTACAGTGATTTTTTTTTTTTTTTTTTTTGGGGGGGGGGATTACAGATTTGTTTAAAAAAAGCCGCGCGAGTTATTCTAATCGAGTTTGTTTAGGTGAGTTACACAGCCTAGGATAGATTTCGGCCGGACTCCGGCCGAAGCGTCGAAGATTAAATCGTCCGTTGTTGCTGTTTTTCACTAAGGGTTTTTTTCTTCTCGGTTTTATATATCTATATATATATATCTATATATATATATATATATATATATATATATGGACCTAACCATTACAATAATTTGCAGAATTATTTAGGATCTGTTAATTACCTTTTTAGCTTTGTAATTAAATATATATTTTAATCATAAACGTGATTAACGTCATCATGGACGATCACTAAACCGCGCGCTTATTATCCTTCTTTTCACACCGGCAACCTTGAGCCCGTTAAATGAGTGGAAACTTTAGTGCACTACCGCACTTGAAACACGCTTTAAATATTAAACAAATACTGGCTTAGTGGTCTTAGATGACGTTCCGTAAAGTTTTTTATTACAACGATACAGATATTTTTCTATACTGTTAGTTATTCAACAAGTTTTAGTTCAGTATCCGACTTTCATACTACAATTGATCCCCATAGTACGTTCCCCTGGCCGTACAACTATCCTGCCCAAACTGCAATTGTGTAGCTTGAATACATTTTTAAACAACCTAACGCCTAAGTAAAAAGAACACCAAGTGTACTTATACATGACTACGGTTATAATTCACCAAATAAAAGTTACAAAAATCGAATAACCACATATCTTTCTGAAAAAAAAAACGCGTTTATTTTTTTAAACTGATTTACAAGCCCTGTTTTGGCTCTTTTACCCTTTAGATTCCGGATTCCGAAATTGTTTTGTTAACTTGAGATCAATATTTTAAGCCTTCTAAAAAACGTCGGACGTATCCGTTTTATTGTATATAAGAAATAGCCACGCGCCTTCAGAGCATGCAAAATCATAAATCCCGCGAACGATCCCGTCGCTTAGCTAGACCTTAGCCCCGACGTACTTTCACAGACAGGCTACAACCAAACCCTGTGCGTCAAGGTTTCCCACCCTGCCAACAATCGACTTCGATTTGGCTTTTCTGAGTAGTTAAGCCAAGTCGAGAGTCGCAACACCGCCGGGGTCCAAAACCTCTTCCTTTCCGCTCGGTCCACTCCGAAGCGGTAACCACGCTCACTGTTTGCACTCCGTCCAAGTTTGCGCTCCGGGAGACGAGTCAAGCGAGGGCTAGAGCCACGGCTTCCTACACGCCCTGTTTGCTCACTGCTCGCTCTGTCGAACTCCAAGTAGCGGTAAGACCTAGGACCCGTCCGTCGCTTGTCAGCGGCAGTCGGGCCTTTTTTTTTTTAATTTTGCGTTGCTAGGCTAAGTGTAAACAACGGGCAACACAACCAAACATAAGGAAAGAACGCGTTTCGTAAGTATTTACTGAAAGCTTGTTCTTTGAAATCCTGGTACAAGTATTGTTTTATTTAACTGTTGAGGGCAGGGAATAAGATGGAGATAAAATTCGAACAGTTAGCTCCTTAGACACTGTTTTAATGGTGATCGGTTCTTTTTGTCAAGAAGAGTTCATTTCAGCTTTTGGTACATCCACACTGAGGACTCGGACGTTGTATTAAACCAACGTATTGGGGCAGTACAAGAATTTCAACGTTCAACCATTTTACGACCTGTATTTCGATATCAACTTGGCGAAAGTAAGTAGAAAAAAAACACACACAATCCTCCGAAATACGGCGAATTTGTTGCTTAACATTAAAACCAAAAACGCATTATTTCGCAGTCTTCAGCAGCGTGTCGCCGTCATGAAAACCACGGTGTCACATTATAGGGAGTGCAAAAGTTTTCGTAGAGCAATCTAACGGAAATCAACAAAACCTTTATCTTTTTGCTGCCGGACTACCAGTTGTCTCCGATGCGAACCGTCTTGATGGCTCGCCGCGACCATCGTAGAGGCTAAGAGTGTAACCTAACCTTGAAAATTCGGCAATCGCGGAAGGGGCTCTGGCGACTTCGAACACAGAGTGCTACGAAATACCACGCGATATCTCTCGCGACTTTACTCCAATGACGATGTGAGACCTGAGAGGAACACCTAACTTTGATTACTTTTATTTTTCTAAATAAAACCTAGCGCCTTGACGGCCTGGAGAAGACGGAGTAATGTTTTGACGGCCTGGAGAAAACGGAGTAATAAATTTTTTAAGAAAAAAAAATAGTTTTTTTTTATTTTTATAGCTGACATAGAATAATCCCCGAAATTAATTATCTGAACCCCGAGAATCGTTGCACTGCCCAGGCTAGGTGTGCCACCGTATAATGGACGCGCCTTTGGTTTAATAAGGGGGGCGATGTGGGTTAGTTGGTTCATACTGACGAAAAGGCAAACATCGCAAGGTAACCGGGGACTAAAGGAAGTGCAAACAGGACAAGCGCTGACTCTCAACTGAAATTTAATCACATGAAAACAAAACAAAGAAAACAGCAACTCCGCCCATGTCGCATGATGCATTCACCACGTGTCCAAAAAAAACATCTCTTTAGTACTCAAGCCCAGTGACGTTTGGCTTACGCAGTTCGCGCCTGCTTTTATAATTGCATGCGCCTCTAAAATTTCTCGATTCACTCTGTCCCTTCCATAGCCAATGATACCCGTTTTACTGAAGATAGGATCACACCCACATTCATGACAATGCAGTGGCAGATGCCCCCCTACAGCTCCCACCACTGATCGCAACGACAAGTCATGGTCCCGCAGTCTTTGATTAACACATCGGCCCGTCTGACCTACGTAGGCTTTCCCATACGGTAGTGGTACGAACTGCGTAAGCCAAACGTCACTGGGTTTGAGTAGTAAAGAGATGGGTTTTTTTGGACACGTGGTGAATGTATCATGCGGCATGGGCGGAGTTGCTGTTTTCTTTGTTTTGTTTTCATGTGATTAAATTTCAGTTGAGAGTCAGCGCTTGTCCTGTTTGCACTTCCTTTAGTCCCCGTTTACTGTGCGCTGTTTGCCTTTTCGTCAGTTTGGTTTAATATATTTATGTTTATTAATTTTTTTACGAACTTCTACGTAAAACTATCTTGCGTGTTTATAATAACTTCTTACAAATTAGAGCCGCGTGCACCACTAAAATCAGGACAATTACTAATGAGAGAAATTCCAAAACAATCATGGGTCTAAGGTTAGTGTCCCCTCACCATAAGGGTTACTGAGGAGAACCCTTTACAAATTTGGTGCCCTCTGATTGCGTAATGCCTTAGGGTTTGGTGTTAGGCGCTTTCAACCAAAGAAAAACTGAATACCATATGCCGAATTGAATTTCTGAATTCTGTTTTAACCGAAAATTGTGAGGGGGGGGGGGGGGGGGTCGCTATCGTGTGATCTTATGGCCCACTTATGGTGTTGCTACCTACCTTAGAAATCAGCAGACTTTTGGGAGTGAAATGACAGTTCCTCTGCGTGACCAATTTTGTTCACCTTTCAGATGATGGTCGTACAATTCAACGTTAGGACATGAGATATAGTACCAACATATAGGGATGGGGGGAACAAAAAGGCACAGCCAGTGATTTTCTAGACATCAACCCAAATGTCACAACCGCATTAAACTCAACCTAACAATACTTGATGCAAGTGAAGAGGAGAGGACGGAGAACAGCGGAGGTGGAAACAAGAGTGAAGAGAAAATCTGAAGAACGAAGTAAAAAGGAAGAATGAAGAAAGACCGCGAGCAAGATTGAAGAAAAGAGAAAAAAGTATAAACGCTGCTGAACGACTGGGCTCGTTCTTTGGGCTGTGATGACGCTAGATTATTTTAAGTTGTTATTTTTTTTAACGAAAATGGTGTCTTCAATCAAAATCCGTTTTTTTTTTGGCTTTTGCCCTTTTCATTTCTATTTTATTGGTTTAAGACTGCCATGCGAACGCTGGAGCAGACAGAGGCACTTTATTTTTCAATTGTTTATTCGCCTTACCTCAGCGATGTGTTGATTGTCAGAAATGTGCGACCATTGAATATAGAGGGAGTTTTAACGTTTTCTGCAGAGCAAGTGACGAGAGTCAATTGCAACCTAAGTTTGATGTGCTCGTGATGTATGAAGAGCTTCGAACGTAGTACCACTTGTGTTGTGACACCAGCGTTTGACTGATAGGCCAGCTTTAGCTGTTGCAGTACTTTATCTAGACAGCTTTGATACATACAGATATACACTAAAGAGCCGGGACATATTTTTATATAAATAAAACAAAAAAAACCCTATTACTTAAAGAAAAATAACTGAACCGAAAATGTGAAACCCTTAATATACAGGGTGCGGCGGAAGGACCGAAACAATTCGCAGACCTTGCAAAGTGAATGCCAAAAGTACTATC